CAAAGCGCAGCATCACGTTTCGCTTAACGGCGATGTCATTCAAAACCCGAGAGTTCAAACTCTCAAAGATAATCGCGCCATCGCCACATATCGCGGAATGCAGCGTGCTGTAATCAGGATTCGATTCCCGGATTCCTCGAATCCCGCGGAATCGAATCGCTTCAGGACGACCGATTCCAGTAGGTGAATTCCGAGGGAGAGCGATGTCGTCGCGGGATTCGCGGGATTCGCGGGAGAAACGGAAATAGAAATGATGAGTGGAAACGAGCGAGCGAGTCTCGGAGTGCTGCACTCTCGATTCCGCGATTCGATGTCTCGCAGCGTCGATCCGCCATATTCCACGCGGATAGCTCGGATTACCGCCAATTCTCTGCGGGAGAGCGCCGTCCTGCCGTGCGAAGCAGAAACAATTGCCGTCGATCGGCGCGCGTGGAAATCCCTCGTGCGATCTCGCGTCACGCGTCTCGTCTCTCCTCGACCCGGCGACCCGTCTCCAGGAGGTAATGCTGCCTTGATTACGTCACCACTATGCCCGACCAATACTGTTTCGTGTGTGCGAGCAACGAGGGTGTTTTCCTCGACGTCACGCCGGATAACCGGGACACGTTCGGCGACCAGGTCAAGACGTGCTTTTCTCACAAGGTAAGCGTCTCACGTCATGTGGGTTCCCCGACAGGTATCACGCGGGAAAAATGCGCGTCCTCGCGGATCGTCGACGTGCATCGAATCCTCAACGGTATCATTCTGCATCATTAGCGATGCAAGTAAACGAACGAGAGAAAAAAGGAAAAATTCCATTAGAGATCGTAAAAAGAAAACAAGTAGAGGTAGAAAGAGAACGGTGCTATAGGGTGTTTCCACACTTTTCGCAGAGATGAGATTTCATGGCGTTTTCGACGGAAGAACGAAGGTCGCTCGCTCAAGCTACGTCACGAGGTGCGAGTCCACATAAATCCGCGTGACGTTTGCGATAATTCGAACCCGGAGATTCCCATCGGGTCATTTAATTGCCACTCAGGTTAAAGTCGCGCCTATAGCTTATAGGTTAGGGTCGTTCTGCTCCACTCGGATCGTCATCGACGACGGACGCGATCGCCGTGACTTGGAAACGTACGAAATCTCGGGGTAATTCGGGTGATCCGAATTGTGCCAATTTGTTTCGTCAAATTTACCTCGATTGCGGGACACCCCGCGCGACCACGCGTGGTACTCGCCGCGCCATCTGTGCCCGAGATTCGCAACATTCGTGCGCGATATGGAAAACCGGCGGAGGTGCAGGGGCAACGAGACAACGGGGTGATCGGGTACGACGTTATTACGCCGTGACAAATAGTTCCGAAATCCAGAATATCACGAGGAGTGATGCGAACTTGGTTGCGCGACAATAAGCCGTGCGACAGCGCGTTCGATTTTGATTCTCGTCCCGTTCGATCGAACGAATAAATACATTTTTTTCCTTTCCTTTTCGGAAAAAAGATAAAAAGGGGGAAAACGACGTGTCCATCTCGGTAGTCGATGGCTATTCCGTTTTACCGACATTTTTGCCGTTCGTACGTATGTATACAATATGTGTATATATATTGTTGTGTGTGTGTGTGTGTGTGTGTGTGTGTGTGTGTGTGTGTGTGTGTGTGTGTGTGTACATACACGATGAATGATGAAGTATACTTATACTTGGCCTGATCTCTCGTGGCGAGACTCGTAATTCCGCTTTCTGCATATTTATATCGCTTCAATTCGGAAAAGAGGAATCTGTCCGAACTCTGCCGAATGTCTACTACGACTGTATTGTTGCCTAGCGGTGTTCGCCCGATTTATATCGAGTGAATACATCACATTTTATTCACTTAATAACCAAAGTTGCGTATGCGCAATTGTGAATGTATTTAACGAAAAACCGCCTTTGAGCTTTTAAGTAGAAAGATGATCAGGTTAAGAATAAAGATCGGAAAGTTTCATAAATGATATCTTTCAAAAATTGTTTTATTTTTGGGTGAGAGCGTTTTCATTTCTAGAAAATTATTATTAAAATTATTGACACGTTTATTTGAAATTTTTTTCTTAATTTTGTTTGTCCTCGTTTTTATTATATAATTATATTTTGTTTTCTGTTTCTGCACTAGACTGTACTAAAACTTTCTATCTCACTTTTAACTTCAACTATTTATTTCATTTTAAGTATAACGAATATACATTAATTCAACTATGAAAATAGATAAATTATTTTATTGTAATAAAGTTATTATAATTTTGACTCTATGTGGTTTTCTCTCATTTCAGGTTAATGAGAGCATCGAGCTATCAAACAAGATATGTTACAAGTGTGCATATGAATTGGATCAGTGCACTAAATTTGTAAAAAAGTATAGGAAGTCACACGAGACAACAGGATCGAAAGCCACAGCGTCAATGTCATGCTGCTTTCTGTGCTACGAATTAGTGGAAAGTGACCGTATCTTTGATATTACCAAGGACAATAACGTGATATTTAGTCCTTTACGGAAGATCCGCAGTATTTTCAATGATGATGTAAGTTTGAACCTGTCTAGCTTCTTTATTATAGGCAAATGTAACTGTGATTGCTTGTATTTGAGATGTTCCATCTTTTTTTACAGATCAACAAGAATAACTGCAATTCGAAATTAATATGCTTGACGTGTCGATATAATTTGGATGTCTTGTATGATCTAAAAAGAGTGTTTCAAGAATCAATTTCCAATTTAAAAGCTTTAATTAATGGAGAAATAAATTATTTAAATTTTCCAAAGGTAATAGAAAATTATTGTAACAAAAAATATTAAGTTATACATATGGTTTCTTATGTTTTTATGCTGATTTTTTTTTATGTTTATGTTATAGTTACATTTTTTTTATTACAGATACACACAGATGTTGTAAATCGCAAAACGACCATTACCACATTTCCAGATATTACAGTTTATGGTTTAGTAAATTCCGATAGTGACAGTGACGAGAACATGGCGCATAGCAAACGACGTTTTCGTGGCAATCAACATACTCGTGGCAAACAACGGGGTAGACCAAGAAAATTGGGAGGCAATGCTAAGTCAAAAGTCAGGAGTTGTGACGAGTGTCATAATACGGTTGCAAACGATGTTGATATGTACAGATTTCATCACACGGGTTTAACAGTATGTAAGAATTGTTGGATAACGATGGATCCAGGTATCAAGACTCAGCGACGGTCTCGTCAGACGCAATTTGCAGGAATAAAATTGTGCACGGTCTTTTTGACGGATGTTCTGAATCAAGAATTATGTAAAAAGGAGAAGGAAACGGAGAAAGAGAAAGATGATGTATCTCATGTTACATCGAGCGACAATTCACAGGAGGAAATAAAATCTGAAAGCAGTCCTGCGAGTGTCTCGTCTAAAATGAGGAATCATGCTGTTAACGGTAAAGCGCGACGAGGAAGGAAACGGCGATTCAATGTAGGAAACCGCTCAAAGGATGACATTGAAAGCACACCGACGAAAACGACGAGGTTGAGTAAAACGCGCGTAAACGAAGAAAAAACGGCAAAAGCTTCATTCTCTGATGCAGAATCTAGTACCCAATCAATGAAAAAGCAATCGCGTAAAAGAATACTCAATGATCCAAGCTCGGATTCCGATAATTTTCTAGAGCAAAAAGAGACACGTGAAAGTAAATCAAATGACGGTGTGGAAAAATCGAGTAGGAAAAAACAGAAAATCACTCTTGAAGGAGAGACCCTGGATGCAGACTCTAGTGAAGAGTCATTCTACGAAAATAATGTTAATTTAAAAAGTAAGATAAGAAGTACAACGAGTTCATCGACTGGGTCTACGCAAAAAGAAGGTGATAAAAGCACTCGCGGAAGAACGAGATCATCTTCTATATCCAGTACAGAGATGACAGTTTCGACGAAATTTAAAAGCCCGAAATCTGTATCGCAATCAGAAGGTACGGCAAAATATACTTGCAACAAGTGTAACAAAAAATTTGACAATAAATTGTCCAGTGCAAAACATAAACTGACACACTTCAAGCAAGCTGCGTTAAAGCTAGAAAAGTTAACTGTTCCAAGTGTTATGGAAAAGCGGGAAACGGAAAACGACTCGCAAGACGGCAAGATCTCGAAAAAGACGGTATCATTTTCTGATAGTATTGTATCCGCCGAAAAACAAACTGACGATCCGGAAGATGTTGCTATCAACATCGAGGATGATACCGATGATGAAGAATTATTGAGTTTATCCAATCAAGAAGACGCAAAAATAAAAGAGACAAGCAATGAAGAGGCTAGCATAGTTAACAAATCAGACGCATTAAAGGAAGAATGCGTAAAAGAATTTGTAAACGATGGCGATGCTAAAACAAAAGAATCTGAACAGTTTGAAGAATTTAATGTTTTGGACGAAACAGTAGAGATGGAGAGTGGAGATGGAGGTAAAAATACAGAGGATAATAATATAGAGAAAAAAGATGCGGTAAAAGATAAAGATGAAACATCGAGGAATAAAGACAGTAAATCCGAAAATAAAGATATGGATATCCAGGAAATTATTGATGATTCTGCAAAAGATATGAATATGGATGTAGAGAAAGAATCAAATGTAGAAATAGTGTGTTCTCCAGAAAAAGAAAAGTCTATTAGCGAATGTAATAATGAGGATAATAAGAAGGATCCTCACGAAGAGACAACGCAAGAGAGTGAAATGGTTAATTTATCAACTCAGGACACAACTAAGGTTGATAATAGATATAATGATGATGATAATAGATATAATGATAACAGACGTAACGAAAGTTACGAAAATAATTTAGAAAATAATTGTGAAGAAGATAAGGATGGAAGAGAGGATCCAGAACTAATACAATGTGATTTAACGGATGAGTTTTTAGAAAAAGATGCAAAAGAGCCAGAGGAAAACACGCAAAATATTTTATCAGATATCGTTGACGAAACAATCGCTCATGAAAGTGATAAAACTTTAGATGACTTATTGATCCTGTCTGAAGACAAGATTGAAGTATCAGAGAAACAACAAAGTAGATCTGAAGAAGAAAGTATGGAAGTCGAATTGATGAAAGATATCGACGAACTTAATAGCACGAAAGATATTATTCAATCAGATCTTTCAAATGGTAACGACAAACATGAAGAAAAAGATGACGACATTGCAATAGTTCCAGTAAATAGTAACATCATTGATGTGAATGAAGATGATGACATTGTTCCAGTAAACAACGATAACAATGAGTACAGAGAAAAATCTGAAGAAATCACGGAAAAATTAATTACAACAGATGATATTAAGGAAAAAAAGAAATTTGAGGAAGAAATAAAGGAGCTCGAGAAATTAGTTGAGGATAATGCGATGAATAACAGACACGAATTACAGGAAAACTCAAATTATCTCTTGGACAATAATTCTGCGGATGCGGCAAACGAAATATTGAAAGAAGTATTTGAACTCGCTGCAGTCGAAGTTCAGCAACGAGAAGAAAGTCATAGCACGAAAAACTTGAGCGACGTCGAAATGGAAACACTGGAAAACATATCGCGTGAGATACGCAAGAGTGCTGATATGCCGTCTTTGGATCCGATTAGCGTTATGGAAATAGACGATGATAATGACATTGTGTTAAACTAATTGTGCCTGTGGCAATCACTTTGTACATTCTATTTTACTTTTACGTGAAAAAATTTACTTCGCCATACGTGCAATGCGTATCTATTTACAACTATGGAAGAATTAAAAAACCAATGTGAATTATTGGATTTCCACGGATGTATATTTTATCGCAAACTTGTTCATCAACAATGCTATTCAATGAATATTTTAAGGTAAATTCGCGTTTATATTTTTCTCCTTTATACATTATAAATCAGAGAACTGCAATTTGATTGAACAGTTCGAAAGATTTTGGTTATATATTAATTTATATTGTTTAAGATTAGCGTTTATATTAAGAATTAAATATAGGTATCACGATAGCATTGACCCCACAGTTTTTTTGACGTAACAAAGCAAATAAGCTATGAAATATGTTGTAGAATTTTTGCATCACTGAAAAAATTACAACTAATTGTAAAATTCAAATATAAAATTAAATTTGTATTTGTAACATTATAATGTGATAATATATATGTATATATAATGTAATTGTATATATATAATTACATTATGTATATTAAGATACAAGAGAAATATATACAATAATATGAAAGCATTTGCACAATGATTTGTCAGAGATCTATGTAATGTTTTGTTTATATGATACTTATATGATACAACAGCAACTTTCTATAAAAATTTACAGTACAAGAAGATAATTCATCATAAATAGTAATATAATAAATTAATTCCAAGACTTTTAGTATAAGATTGTAAAGTAAGGTTTCGAGGAGCAAATTTTACATTGATGATACG